TATATATATATATATATGTATGTATGTGTGTGTGGTTGTACATACACATATGTAGTTTTTTTGTGTGTGTTTGGCTTAGTGTTATGTTAGAATCATTATTATACTCTTATACCTTTTGTTCTTTAATATTTTGAATTGTTTTTAGCTTTATTTTTTGTTTTTCATTTAAATGTTAAGTTTTGAAATTTTGTTGTATGCATTTGTCATTTTTATTTAATTTATTTATTTTTAAAATGTGTATAAGTAGTATTTATAAAGTTTTAGCTTTTAGTTTTGGATCTGTTTTTAGTTGTTTTAATACTACAATTGGTTGCTTCTGTTGTCCTCATTTGTAAGTCGCTTTGGATAAAAGCGTCTGCTAAATGACTAAATAAATAAATAAATAAAAATCTATGTATTCTTATTTCTTTTTTCTTCTTCTTTGCCTTCCTATATAATTTCTGTATTCATAATGTCATCCAATGTTACATTAATTGTTGAATGTTAAGTGTTTATACTTGCAATTAAAAAAAAATAAAAAAAGTATTAGCTAGATCATTATAGCTGGGTTTAATCATATTACGAAATGTTTGGTCTGAGGCAACAGAAAACGGTAAGAGTTTGTACTTTTCTTGATTTATTTGTACTTAATCACATTCAATCTACTGCAAAATTATCAGTAGTTCAAACTCATATATTACTTTAGGATTGTTGACATTAACGAACACTTCATGAAATTATAGTTTAACTAAGCTTTTTTTATTATTATCTTTTGTTATATAGTTATAGTATTATATTTTATTACCTTATTTTAACTGCAAACATGAAATAACTCTCACACCACATGAACTGGTTGAGGCCTGTCCAATATTAGCCCTAACACTAACCTATAATCTTGACATTGTTAGTCCCTAATCCTGCTAACCAATATTTAATTTATCATTTAAACATTTATCTACAAACACATGCAAGAGGACAGATAACACAAAACAAACAATCGGCTTAATTATTATTACTGCACTTTATTATTCTTTTTTTTTTTAAATTGCATTAGTTTATTTTTTTTTTACATTGCCTGAGGTGAGAAATCATTAAAAAAAAAACTGTAAATACACAATGATATAAGAAATGAATATACAAACAAAAAAAAAAAATCACAGGTAAAACAGTTTGAGGAAGATTTATGCAAAGCAGCAGTTTTTAATAATCAAACGGTGAAAATCTTTCAAATAAAGTTATAAACAAATAAATAAATACAAAGAGATAAATCAATAAAGTGCATTCTGTAACATTGCTTGTACTCGTTGCGTGAGTAACGGTGTCTAATCTAAACACACTGACATGATCTATCCTACATACACTTCACAGCACAAATCAATCTGAAAACATAATAAAGGCATATACACCCTACTCAAATATTATTAAACTTATAAAAGATGACATCCTCATAAAAAGTACTGTGGCGTTACCGTGGTACAATGATGGTACCTGATATATAAAAGTGCATTCTGTAACATTGCTTGTACTCATTGTGTGAGTAACGGTGTCTCAGGCAAACGCTATGCCTACAGAATCTAAACACAGACGGAAAACTGACACGATCTATCCTACATACACACACTTCACAGCACAGATCAATCGGAAAACACAATAAGGGCATATACACCCTACCCAAATATTATTAAACTTATAAAAGATGACATCCTCATAAAAAGTACTGTGGCGTTACCGTGGTACAATGATGGTACCTGATATATACAATGGATCACAGATACCACTGAATCATTAACATATCCATGTATGTTCAAGGTATATGTCTAAAAAATGGTATTATCATGCTACAATATCTAAAAAAAAAACATGATAATACCAAAGAAAATAATTGGGCTAATATATTTGGGTAAAGTGTAAAGTCCTCTATTGGCAGAAGACAGTCAATCAGGGATCAAGGATCAGCTGATTTGGAAGAAAATCATTGCATTAATGTGGCACCAAACACTCCTAAGACATCACTAGATTCACTACACACAGAGTCTCCAAAGGACGTTCACACAAACGTGAGAGTGACCATGTGATTTAAAGTGTAAACAGATTGGATCAGTTCCACATGTAACATGAAGCCCCTTCCAGAACATCGTTGCATCTCTCGCAGACCACTAGACATGTCAACCTACTACGTAATAAATTCCTATAAAAGTTGGACACAATGTAGCAAAAGTGAATTACAAGCCCTGAATGGATTAAAATGAAACACATCTACACATGTACCACCTCACACTTCACAAACTCTTCTGCATATACTAAAGAATAATTCAGGCTTCGTCAGATTTGTAAGAATTAAAGTGTATAATCCACAGTGCATTTACTGGCCTATAATATATATAATCGAACACGATGACATTATAGTGACCCATTTTCTACATAGAGTTCATCTAATAATCTCAATATCATTTCTTAGCAATGCCATTCTTGAGGTTTTCCCTCCAGTCTCAAGAGTGGCAAATTAAAACTAATATACACTCTCCTTGCTTCTTTCCAAAGTTATTAAAATTCATCCACATAAAAGTCAACATGAAACGACATCTGCAACCCAATTTACTTCCATAACGGTCATGCTTCCAAATCTATGTTTATGTGCTATTACTGCCATTTTGCTAATTGGCATTAAATTACTCCACTAACTAGTTGATAAAAAGGCTGCATTTTCCTACTACTACTAGTAGTATATTTTTTATTTAATGCCAAGTCAGCATCTTAGGCTATTTTCATGGCAAAAGCAATAAAAAAAAATACAAGTATAACAAATACAATAAAAACCAGCAA